GAGGAGGATGAGGAGGAGGAGGTGGAAGAAGAAGAAGAAGAAGAAGAAGAGCCGAGTGTGAGGATTTACCTCTTGCACGGGATGAGGTGGATTGCCCGGCTAGTTGAGACAACGAACAGGTGCCTTTGCAAGTCTCTGAAAAAGATACAGGATCAGGAAGAAGGAAGAAATACAAAGACGGCTCTGTGATTGAACCCAAAGGAACAGGAAGAGGGAGTGGGAAGATTTCCGTGTATTTTTTCCAAACCTGGCGGAACGACATGGGTGGCGGGTGCCTCGTGGGGGAGGCGGGGTGCCTGCCGGAGGACCCCCGGGAAGGGGAGGGAGTGCGAGAGGAGGAGGGGGAGGAGGAGGAGGAGGAGGAGGAGGAGGAGGAGGAGGAGGAGGAGGAGGTGGAGGTGGCGGAGGGGGGGCAGATCAGTTCTTTGCATGGGTTTTGCCTCAGCTCACTGGTCAAAGTGACAAGGAGGACGGTCAGCGTGTGGCCTTGGAGGCGGTGCTTGCATGGTTCTCCGTTGGGGACGGCACGCCGCTGGACAGATTTGTCTCTCCTGTCCTACTTGCTTGCCAGAAATTGCTCGAGGATGGTGGCACCCCCATGGATCTACTACCACCTCTCCTATCCCTCCTCTGTCACTTGAGCGCCTCCTATGCTCACCTGTTCCGGTCTCATTTCATGGACTTCGTTGACCTCCTTCTTGGCTGGGCACTTGAGCAAGACCTTTCCGAGAGCAATCTGAGGTTGATTACTCAGAGCTTCCTGGATATGGCAGACCTTTGGGGAGAGAATGCGGAATTTTCCATCAGCCTGTTATGGAAGCTTCTGGGAGACATGGAAGTTCTTGGTGCGGAAAAGATGGTCTCTACCGGCGGTGGACAGGAAAGGAAACACCTTTTGAGTTTGGCGTGCTGCTACTCCGCAGTCCTGCAGGCCACCGTCCCCTCACTGGTGCGGTTTGATCGACAGAGCAGTATTGCTGCTGCGGCTCGGGAGATGCTGCCACGTGTACTGGGATGCGTCAGCCACGTGGCACGAAAGTTCCAGGACTTTTCTTGGATGCGAGAAGCATGCCAGTGTCTGGTTGTTCTCATTGCTTTGCTGGGAAATCAGGTCGCTCCTTCCCGGTCGCTAGAAGCGGTGGATTTCGTTGTTTCTTGCTTGGCCCTCGCTGTGAAGTCATCGTCTGCAGCTGTGAGAACTCCTGTATTTCTGCGTTTCATCTTGGCCTTGGTGGCTTGCCAGCGAGAGAATGCACCTGCAGAACAGGTTGCTGTACTTCTCGACAGCGCCTCACCCCTGTGTGACCTGCGGCTTCACTCAGGGAAGCAAGTGGCAACCACTGTCGCACACACTTGGCTTTGCCTGCTGTGTCACCCATCGGTCTCAGTCTCATGCAAAGCCAGGGAGGTAGTTCTAGCAGAGATGCGGGCGATTAAGGCTTTTCTTTCTCGACCCGATGGGCAGGTGAAGAAGAAGCGGATGGCAGCACTGCCCTTTCGACTGTCTGAAAACAACAAGAGTAGTGTTGCTTATGGTGCTGATGTGTCAGGAGGTGCCAACATCTGGCAAGCCAGTGTGTCTGAACAGGTCAACGCCAATCTTCCGCACAGAAATGGTGTATCTAAGGAGGAGGAGGAGGAGGAGGAGGAGGAGGAGGAGGAGGAGGAGTGGGAGGAGCATGAGGAGGAGCATGGGGAGGAGCATGAGGAGGAGCAACTGAAGGAAGGTTGTTGGAGAATGACGGTCTGTGGAGATTCCTTTTTGGAAGCTCATGCAGTTGCCGTTCTGAGATTTGATTTGGTTACATTGGCTTGCAGTGGACGGTCTTTGGAGGAGGGAAGCGACATGTTTCGTGTTGTTGCAGACGTGGTGTCTGACCTGGGCGTGAGCTGGCAGTTAGCGGGCCGGATGGCGAGAATGCTCTCCTCTGGATCTGGTTTGCTATCGGATGGGAATGTTGAATTAGTGGATGTGTTGACGGGAGAATTCAATCCATTCACCTTCCCTCTTGTTTGTCATGCCGATGCACAGCTGGCGGTGTTGCAGGCTATTCGAGCTCTCTCTTCCGAGTTCATGGGTGGGAAGGGAAGAGAGGGAGAAAGGGATGGGCAGGAATGGCCAGGCAGGAGCAGGGGCTCGAGTTCCACAACGATGGGCGGCATAGGGAGGAGGACAAATGGCAAGAAGGTTGGAGCTAGAGCTACATCGCTTGGGGAAGTTGAATGCCTCTGGAAGTTCCAAAGGATACTTGTGTGTGCCCTCACCCAACAACCTTGTAGCTTAGCTGTGATCTTAGAAGCGCTTGATTGGGTGGCGGCTTGTTGCATGAGCAAGCTGAAGCTGGTGATGGATGGGATAGTGGCTGACAGCTCTGAATGGTCGACACGAAGTGCCGGTGATAAAGTCCAGAAATCAGATGGTAGAGTGCTCCAAAAGGAAAAGGAACAAGAGGAGGAGGCCTCGAGAGGGGAGCGGGAGGAAGAGAAAGAGGAGGAAAGGGTGTGGGAAAGGACAATTGACTGCGAGCTACTATGTGCCCTGCTTTGTGCTGCACGGCACAGGGATGCATCGGTGAGACGACATGTCGCCAAAGTGCTTGCTCTTCTGATTCAAGCTAAGCTTCTAGACTTGCCGCAGTTAGAGATGGTGGTGATCTCCGCTTGCGAGCAGTTGTTGGATCCTGACCCTGGTCTTCAAGTGGCCTTTCGAGAGCTGTTGGTTTTGGGAGGGCCGGCTGTCTTGTGGTGTCATGGGTCATTGGAATGCCACGGCAACTTGGAACGGGACCGCAGGACTGTTACCCTTGACAGAAGCTCGAAACACCGGATTGCAATGCAGACCCATGCGCCTTTTCTGCGATCCCAACAACTTGTTGCGATCATGAAGTTCCTTTCTCAGGAGAGGCAGACCTATTCGTCGAATTGGCTGCAACGACTAGTTCACAGCTGCTGGAATGGGGCCATCGCTGGGCATAGTAATGGACAGGGGAATAAGGTAGGAGGCGAGGAAGGGGGCGTGTCCGGTGAGATATCTGGCCTTGATCGTGCCTCGCTGGATGCAATGACATGCAGTAATGATGGGCTAGCAGTGTGGTGGGCGATCCAAGAGAGTGCACGCCACTTTGTGTTCGTTAGATTGCGGACACATCTCGGGGCTCCCACTCATACATTTGCCGCAGTCGAGCGTATGCTGCATCATGTGGCACAACTTTCTCGCACTGACGACGGCGGAGAGCACCAGCAGGGCACAGGAAGTGGCAACCTGAGCTTGTCCAGGTCCAGGCTCCTGCCCATGTGGATGCTGCTTGAGTTTGTGGAGGCACTAGAGCGCAACGTGTACAATGCCTATCAGGGAAGCGTTGTTCTGCCTCCTCCTGTCAAGTCTAGCACTGTTTTTTTCAGAACCAACCGGAAGGTGTGTGAAGATTGGTTTGTTAGGATACGGGAAGCGCTGCTCGAGGCGAGTGTGAGCACAAGGCGGCAAATGGGTGTGGTTCGACACGGAAGCTTGCGCATGCTTGACTTGCGCTCCATAGCAAGCCTTTCGGGACCGTCCTCCTCATCTGCTTCATCATCCTCTGGCCCGTCTTCTGCTATCGGACATCGTGTGAAGCTGTGCCAGGATGCAGGCCGTGTAATCCGTCGTGTAGCACTTGCTCTGAGTCAATCCTATGATCCTGATTCTCTCCAGGGGCTGCGCAACTGGGCTTGTTCTAACATGGACCATCTCATTTTTGGCGGGGTAAGAGGAGGTGGGGGAACTGAATCACAGCATCAAGGAGCAGGAGCAGCATCCTCATCAACAGCAGCGACCGCAGGAGAAGGCCGAGTTAAGGGAGGCTCTGATGGTGGTGGCTTGAAATGGATCGACGCCCTTGCATCCCAGGCATGTGGAAAGTACGAGAACGCAATTGTGAGCTTCTCATCCTTACTTGGGTCTGAGGAGGCCATGACTGCTATGGGGGCAGAGACAGTTCAGTTTGTGATCGCAAGGATGGTGGAGTGTTATACAGCTATCCGCGACTGGGAAGGGATGGACACATGGTTGCATGAACTCCAGGCTTTGAGAGCCAAGCATGCAGGGAAGGCGTATGCAGGGGCTTTGACAACTGCTGGTATCGATCTCAATTCTGTACATGCTCTTGCTCGATTTGATCAGGGTGATGTCCAGGGTGCGTGGGGGTATATTGACCTCACTCCTCAGAGTAGTGCCGAGAGGACTGCAGACCCTCTTGTGGCTCTTGCACGAAGTGAGCAGATGCTGCTTCAGTCAATGCTGCATGCATCTCCACGGATTACCATGGATCTTGCAGAGGCCGTGAGAGAGGCAGCTCGTGCCAGGGAAATGGTGGAGGAAGCTTTGAAAGTGGCCTCCTTGGATGGATTGCAAGCAGCAGCTCCTTTTGTGGTGCATCTGGAATGCATAAGGCTTGCTGAGATGGGCTTGTGCAGCATTTTGGAAGGGGACGAATCAGGTGCAGGAACGAGGGGGGCTGATAGGTCAACCTCCTCTGCCAGCCTGGAGGGAGCAAGAGCAGCGGGAGGGGGAGGAGGGGGAGGAGGAGGAGGAGAAGGAGGAGAAAGAGGAGTTGCACCACTTGGATACACAACCAGGCGGCCATCCTTTGACCAGCTAGATTGTGCTGTATGGCTGAAACTTCTCCGCCTGCACCGATTCCTTGGGAGAGAGACGAGCTTCGTGGAATCACTCCATTTGCAGTTAGTACGGATGGCAAGAAAACAAGGGAATCTTGGACTGGCTACTCGTCTGCTTCATGAGGGTGCAAATGGGAGCTATGGGGGAGGGAACATGGAGAAGGGAGGCAGCGGAGGCCGCACTGTTTGTGGTGGTCTTAGGGGTTCTGCAGGTAGCATGGCTCTCCGAAGTGTTATTGTCAGTCCTGAACTGGACATATCCACGCCCATGAGTGCAGGAGGCAGTGAGCTGGACTATGAGCGTGCACTTGTGCTGCGTGCTCTGGGGGATCAGGCAAGTGCGTTGCTCACCTTGTGGAAGATGACACAAGGGTGCACAGCAGAGAGCAGGCCAGGCAACACCTGCCCGGCCTCGGTGAGGGCAAAGAGCCTTCTGAAGCTTGCCAAATGGGTCAGGGAAGGGGACCCTTCTTCTGTGGCTGCGGTTCTGGAGGAGTCTGCAGGGCCTGGTGAGGGGCAGATCTGGCATGCCATTGCGACTGGCAGGCATCGGCAGGCAGCGATTGCTCAGGAGCGGCTTTTGAGCCAAGGTCTTCTAGATGCAAGATCCAGACAAACTTTGGACCCCTACGGATTGACTCTGGTAATAGAGGAGATGGCACTACGGAATGCAATGCAGGAGGTCTCTGCTGAACAGGGAAAAGCATGGTTTGGTTATGCCTCATGGTGCCTATCGTGTGCGGAATCGCTGTTGCATCGTCGCACGCCACATGAGTTGTTTTCTGTTGAGATGAAATGGAAAGGACAACCAGTTCCTACTCCCTCACCTGGAATACTGACAGAAGTGGAGATAGAGGCTGTGAGAGGGGTTCTGAAAGAAGCTGTACTTGGTGGTCATACGAAGGTGACGTTGAGTGGAGGGACCCTGGTTGATGAGGCTGAAAGCCTTGTCAGGAGCACACCTCCTAGGAACATTATGGGAGCAAGGTGGCTGCAAGAGGAAGATAGGGAGGGTCAGGGAGCGAGGGAGGAAATGCTGCTGTTGTGGTTGAGTAGGAGTGTGGAAACTGCTGTCTGTGAAGAGGCTGGGTTAACCTCATTGTCCAGAATTGTTGAGGAGCACTTGTTGCTGAAGATTGGTACATGGCAGGGAGTGGCCAGTGAAGAATGTCTGGGATTGACAGCAGCCAATCAAGTGGTTGAGAAGCTGATGGTCATATGGTGGAAGGCACGCCGGCGAAGGATCTCATTGTTTTCAGATGCCGTTCAGGCATTCCTGAAGTTTCTGTCCATTGGTAGTGGACAGAGAGCCGGGAGTGAAGGGAGGTTGTGGGCGATGAGGGAGGACCAGGATGCTGCTGCCGCTTCGTCGAAGACCTACGACAGGTCACTCAAGGCGATGCTTCACATCATCCATGCCTTAGTCCGCTATGGAGCAGAACTACATGATGTTGTCAGACAGAGCCTGTCTACTGTGGTCCCAGCACCCTGGCAGGTAAGTCAGTGGACAGGGTCACATGTCCAATCACCTGTGTTGTTATGATCCTGGCCAATTTCGAAGTACAAATTCATGAGAAAGCACAGTGCCATCCAATTGCAAAAGAAATGAATGAACTTGAGAGGAGAGAGAGGGAAAGAAGAAGAAGAAGAAGAAGAAGAAGAAGAAGAAGAAGAAGAAGAAGAAGAAGAAGATGTACACCAGCAAAGACCAATGATAATTCCCTTGTTCTCGCCAACCACTCTCCTCTTCCTTTTCTCCTCCCCTCTTTATTCACAATAAATAATAATAATGATGTTGAATGGCTGAACCAGAATCAATGTCTGAATCCCTCTTCTACTGCAGGTACAACATGAGGTCCACCATAGCCATGGCCACCCTTCTCCTTACTCTTCCGAAGGCCAAAGCTATGGCGGACAGCTAGGGCCTTGCCCTGCTGTGCAAAAGACAACTCAAAGCAGCTATGGCTGCTCTGGTTCAGGCCGCCATGCTTGACTCTGCCTCGAAGCTTCTTGATGTAGCTCGACCCCAACGGGGGCTTTCCAGATGCAGCGCCCACCAAGGTGATGAATATGGTATCCACCATAGCCAGGTAAGTACCTCTGGCACTCTCCCCTTCCTAGTCCCCTCCTCCCTCCTCTAGCCCGAGCTCCACCACCACAGCCACGGTGGAGGGAGCTGGGCGCTCCTTCTTCCCCCCCAGCAGGGCTGCTCCAGCCAGTGCTCCAACCAGTGTGTTGCCAAACTTGCACACCGTAAAAGAGGAGGTGCTCCTTGCTCCTCCCGGAGATATAGCGGCCTGCTTGCCTCTTGGTTGGTGACTTCCAGGCCGCGCTGCCTCCAAGCAACCAGCACCTCCCTTTCGGACGGAAACATCATTGCAGACTCTGATATTGCCCGTACAGGCCCTAGGCTCAGACTGGTTGGACTGGTACCCGCCTAGACCTAGCCTACAACTACTGGGCCTCTAAAAATGCCAACTTTTGTCTTCTTCTGCTCGGCCTCGAGTACCTGGCACATCTCCCTCTACATGGTGTGGTACCGACCTACCTGCTACTTGAGTGTTTTTCCGCTGCTCCAAGTGTCGCGGGCCTCTTTCCCCGCCATTTGAGTGTTTCCCCGCTGCAACCCTCAATGTCTCGGCCACAGGTAAGTACCAGCCCTTCGAGCCTCCCGTACGGACGAGTACCCTTGCGGGTCACACACACACTCAAACCGACAAGCACTCAGACAGGCACACAGACCAGCAAGCATCTGCACACACACACTTAGAAAACTCGGCAACAAGCGGGAAACTCCGCAAGGCATATATTCCATTGGAAAAACTCAGAAATCAGCTGTGTGTCTCAGTCCGCATTTGGCAGGTCCTTACAGTATAGTCGAACAGATCATAATGTGATGGATTGCACGTAAGTACCTATTGTAACCCTCATCATATCGTTCGCTGTTGAATGCAAATGACAGAGTACTGCGTTGATTCTGGGGTTGTTTAATGGGAAACGTGATATGAAGCCAGTGAAATCGGTGAGTGCAAATGCGGACTGAGCTCCTGAGGTTTGTTGACTCCAATTCGCCAGAACAGGCTCAACTCTGTAAACGTCAGCGGGCTCGCACTGTATTCTTGGGCAATCTTATTTTATTTGTCAAGGTGGCGACGCAAAAACCTCGACAACGCTTTTGGAACATGCTATGTTTTCTCTTCCCTTGCGGGATTGTGATGAGTCCCATGCCCTACACACGGAATACGGCCACATGCATCTTTGTATGATAGGTGACCGAACGGCCTCCCGACTAAACATGCCAATAGTGACAAAATTCATGTGAGCTACTGTAGAATATGCAATGAACTTTTTCAGACCGATTATTCCTAATGTAGTTAAGGAAATACATATTGTAGCAATCAGATTATCACACTAAGAGTATAAAATACTATAAATGAAAGGAGTTAAATTACAAGTAGCTTCTGGAAACATTGGTATTGAAAATCTTGAAAAACTATCAAGTTCCCAATTTTAAGAGAATTCCTGCTAAGATTACAGATCCAGCGGTGGGTGCTTCTACATGAGCTTCAGGTAACCAAATATGAACTGGTTAGTTGGGAAAATGATGTGAAGCCAGCAAAATTGGTGAAATGTGCCCACCCCCACTTCTCCCCACTTCTCCCCTCCCCTCCCCTCCCATCCTCCCCTCCCCTCCCCTCCCCTCCCTGCCACTTTGGAAGGAACCAAGGTTCTCTTAGCTTTGCTCATGCGTCTGCCCCCAGTGGGTTAGATACCACTGTTACTCCACAGCTAGTTACAACACAAACTTCTCATTGCCCGTAATGGGGGTTTATCCAGTGTTCGGGGGGGATCCAAAATCTTTCTTCCTTTAAATGGTTTGTCCCTGAAATTTCCTGTCAGAACTGCTTTTCTGGTTGTAATTGGAACCTGCGATTTCCGGTGTAATTGCTTTGAAACTATTGGTTAACAAGTTGTAACAATCTCTCTTCGACTTTTAATCTGAGATCAGTGAGATGTGACGACAATGGTGGCCGACTCTTTTTTTTCCCCCCCCTTCCCGCCGGAGTTGTAGTTGCATTCTTAGGTAACGGTTACCGTGCTGAATGTGGCAAAGGCATAGTTGTAGTTGCGCTCTTAGTTAACGGTTACCCTGCTGAATGTGGTAAAGGCATAGTCTTACGGCATTGGTAATGGTGGGAGGGCAGCTGGATCAGAAAAGGTGGTACCAAAGCTTCTATCAATACAAAGTTAGTGGATATAAAAGCAGCTGTCCTTAGATATAAAAGCAGCTGTCCTTAGGGACATCTGCTAAAACTGGAACGATACAGGGAAGATTAGCACGGGTGCTGCACAAGGATGACAGCCATAGGGAAAAAGAAAGGAAGATGTCAAAGCAGCCAGGACTGTGCAGTTTCAAGCGAGCGCTGGGAAATTCTCACTGCTTTAGTATGCATTGCACTCTTCAAGTCTACAGATCCTTTGGGTGTTCAAGTCCATCGATTCTTGTCCGTTGACTCTGTGTCTGTTGAGTTGCTATCGAGTGTCAACCTCTCTCTCCATGCAGGTTAACTGCGGTGTGCCTCTGTTTATCATATCAAGCAAATTGTCCGAGGTAGGGCGGGAGTTAGACTTACTGACTGGAGGAGAGGGAGAGGTTCAGGACAGGGAAAATGGGCATAGGGACAGCCATAAGGTCTTTGCCTTGTCTCGGCGCTGTTTGGCGTCTTGATGCTCAAGTAGAATCTGGGAGACCTTCTGGCCTGCTCAGTGATCACGTCTTGCACACTTCGGAGTGGTTGGGATCATTACTTCTTCGTCTTTGGTGTCGCCAGTTATTTGCTGGAAGTGGTGCGTGTCATGGAGGTTAATTTTTTTTGGGTAATAACTCGTGTTTTTTATGGATTGCAATCATTGCATTTCTTTGCCGAATGTTCTCCTTGTGCACAGATGGTCATACCGCAGTTGTATGCACAGCTGAACAATCATCATGAGCCAAAAGTTCGCCAGCAGATGCAAGCGCTGCTCACAGCTGTTGCGGAGATGAGCCCTTGGGCTGTTGTATATCAGGCCATTGCAGAGACAAACCATGGGGCCGGGTCTACAGGGGACATGCAAGTATCAGAAGAGCTTCAACAGTTCGTTGCCTCTCTGGTGAGTTAGTTGAATCAACTGAACGGGAAGCTGCTCCCAGGAATCCACATCTCGGGAGGACCCCACGGGTCTCATGCTTTTTGGTATTGTGTGGGACCACGCGTAACTGTGTTGGTATGGGAAAGAGGTGAGGGGAGAGCACAGAGGAAATTATGTGTGTGTGTGTGTGTGTGTGTGTGTGTGTGTGTGTGAG